CCCCCCCTCAGAAGTCCCAGCCCTCTATCTCATCCCTGTCCTCCTCATCACTGAAATCCTCCTCCTCGTCTAAGAACATCTCTTTCACCCCTTCCAAGAAGGTTTCCCCTGCCGCCMCGTTTCGGTAGACTATCTGCCAATACACCGGACTGGGAACAAAGACTTCGTCCGCGCTGAGGAGGTTTAACATCTCAGCTAAATCTTCCGCCCAATTTYCTTCAAACGGCCCTGCTTCCACCRACAGCCTAAAGAAGTCCTGTCTAGCACATTGGTACAGCCTCAGGCGTGTCATCGATTGGCATATACGTTCCAGTCTATCCCTGGTCCCAAAGACTGCATCCACCAGAAACGGGGGTAGCAMGCACCTMMTTGTCCTAAGAGGACGTCTCATATTTTTCCGGTCCCCGAGTTCCACTCGCACCTCCATCCTTTCCATCTCCATTTCTGCCCGCTGACATGCTGCCCATACCACTTCCCGTTCCTCTTGCCTAAACAGCTGATCCGGTGCCGTGCCCAATACTTTGTCCCACTACCAATGCATTTTCCAATTCCTGCGTAGACCCATCCTCGAGCTTCCACTGTTCCCCGGAATTCCAGGTCCATCAAGCTAGGTGAAAGTCTCGTCAGGCTGACCTTAGTCCAGATTGTCTCTATCCAGAGGAACGCGTCCTTCTCGTCCAGCATCACGGTTTCATAGGCCGGTTCTAGGTYGGTCCACGTCCCTTCTTCCGGGAGAACAACAGATACCCCATCCCTTACCTCTATAGGTATTTYCGGACCACTAGAGTAGACAGGAGGCGACAACCATCGCGCCATCTTGTTTCCCRACGCTTGTCCWGTTTTCCACATGAGAGCRCCACACGGCCCCTCATGGTCAGATGGTTTGCTTTTCCTTTTCTAGATGAGAGTYRTTTTCAGACCCCTCATCYGGGTCTCCCTAACTTTTCCTATCCATTTTCCASGCGCCATTRCCCTAMCATMCCCCCAATCGATCACCAGCCGCTCGCATTCCTTTTTCTTGGTTCCACTTTCTTCCGACTCCTAGCCARCCTCTTCCTCATGTTCTCTCACTCGTGCAGACTTAGGCAGGGGTCGAGAATAGACTAGAAGCTCGGTCCCCATCCAACATTCATCAGGCAACTTTACAGAGGGGGGTACAAAAAAAAAAACTCGGTCCCCATCCAACATTCATCAGGCAACTTTACAGAGGGGGGTACAAAAAAAAAAACAAGCAGTCATCGCACACAGGCCGGTCTCNCTTTACAGAGGGGGGTACAAAAAAAAAAACAAGCAGTCATCGCACACAGGCCGGTCTCTCCTCACCGGCCTTTTCCCCAAAGTGGTCTCTCCACTATTACTATTGGCAAGGTTTTGTCCCATACCTCAAGCACAGCTCAACCGGCGCAAGCGCGGTACCCAGGTCTCGACAAGGCATTCGCCCTTTCCTCCTTACCCAGAATACCCCATCCCGACTTGCCGCTCGTGTACCCACCATTAATCTCGGGAATCACCCCGCACATCTCGGTAGGGCCATTGGAGCCATCCATCCAGGCATTCACTTCCATCGGTCCGATAAGGAACAACCTTTCCCAAGCCAGGCTACGAGAAGCTACTGATCGCCTCCCAGGCTCCGTCTTTGCCCCCATGCAGTGGTGCTCCCTCCGCCAGTCCACAGGCTAGGCCCCGCCTGAGGAACGTCTCACACCCCGCCCGACAGATCAATCGAGCCGAGGCCCGTCACCGCGCGGACGAGAATGCTAATAAGCACTCGACGTGACAAACTCCCGTTAGACAGCTCGGTGGCCTGACCCCCGCATACGAACAAACGACAGTCTGCAAAGAGAATGATGTTTGGCAACCCGCAGTGGCCGGTGCAGACCCTCCCTTTCCTTCCAAATGGCAGGACGCTCGAAATCCCAATCATTGAATCACAAGTCCCAAGTGGGGGACACATAACACAAGTGCCTTTCCCCTGGTGCGTGCCACTCTCCCCTAACATCCATACACAGTGCCTGGTTCCTTCTCGTGAGCATCTTCAAGGGTGAGCTAGTTTTTCTTGGAGTCTGGCAACTCTCTTCATTCCCTTATCTTCGCTTGTGTGTCCGTTCATAGGACGGGATTGTTCCTTCTCGATTACCCTTTGTGTTCATATGAAGTTCCTTCAGGCATTAAGTGTGGTGCATGGAGCCCGCTGGGCTCCGAAGAAAAGGAAAGAGAGCACCCGTGTCGGGCGGATCACTGCGCCGCAGGATTTTCATCGGAACCTGGACTAGCCCGGAATCCCAATCGCCTGCCAGGTAACCGGAGCCCTTCTTTTGCACGAAGTGGAAGAGTCGACCAGCGGCTTTCCCAAGGCTTCCCTGGCCTGACGAACATCAATCCAAGGGAAGGAGGACTAGAGTCATCTCCAAAGGAGATGGCTAATCAAAAGTGCAAGCATGCATGTTCTTCCTCCAGGCCTGGCCTTACCATGCGCCCAGCCACCCTTAAATCTGATTCACTCAAGGGATAGAGCATACACAAATCCTCATTTATTCTCTCCATGTTTATGTTCGCGGTCATGCGTCGGGCGCCCCCCTCGACACCGTATGGGTCAGTTTAACCCAGTACCCGACACCTCCACAATTTTTGTAGGGGCCTTACCCTGAAGGACTTTCGAGCCTAAGTCGACCCCGCTGCGGGTCCCAGTTGGCTCGGCCCGCCCACGCTCATGCTCAGGGCGCGGGTCATTTGTCCCAGGGGCACCCCCACCTAGTGCTTTGAGATGGATGGGGATGGGCCTTTTTGCGAGAGGGCTTTACATTGGGGGATGTAGCTCCGCTCTCGCGTCTAGATGGTAGCTCTTTGATCACTCGCGGCGTTTTCTCGATTCATTTAGGTCTGACCAGGCAATTGATCCTTCGAATACGCAGGCAGTCCAGGGAGTTCATTGGAAATTCGTCTTCTTTCGTGTGTAGACCAAGCGACATCCATTGGGCCACACACCTTTTCACCAAGTCTAGTGGCTCGAGACAGCCCCTACGGCATCCTTGGGGTGGGGTGGCATCGCCCGGACCCCTATACGCTATATTTTTTTTGCTTGAGCCACTAGCATTGCATTCACCTATCCAAGACTGCCCTTAGTCCTTTCGAGCTTGCATCGCATTCAAGAGAGCCATTGCATTCAATCATCACACAACCACATCCAGGCGTCTACCACTCATCCAAGCATCCGACCATCAAACCCATCCTGCATTCATAGTTTAAGCGGGGTCTAAGTCCTTCCTTTGTCCAGTCTCCCACCCTAGCCCTCGTCTGCGGATCCAGTCCAGATCAAGTCATCTCGAGCTACTCACCTGCGCGAGACCACACAAAACGAAGGACCAAGTACAATCCCCATTGAGGTCAACACATCGCCCCTTCCCACAGGCCTAAGTTTCCTTTACCGTTGATGATCCTTTGGTTGTTTTTCCCACCCCTCAAGCAAACCATGCCTTCTCCTTAGTCATGCAGTCGGGGAAGATGGTTGAGTCACCTGACCTTGTTACAAAAACAACACCCCTTTCCGCTTTCTCCAATCTTCACAACAATCTGGCGCTTTTCCTTCCGGGTGGCACAAGGGACCGACTGCCCTCCCCTTGCCCTCGCTTTCCACCAAGTGAGGATCAAGTTCGTTACCGTTCGTCCCCTGGCAATGTAACACGTGAGGGGAGAGGTTAGTTACGCGCCATGGAGGGGAAGGGGAGAGGGAAGAGGTAAGGGTTAAGGAGTTTGAAGGAATGGGAGAAGAGAGAGAGAGAGAGAGAGAGAGAGAGAGAGAGAGAGAGAGAGAGAGAGTGAAGTCTCACGTCCTGATCGACCTTGATCCTTGCCTCTCCCTAACCGACCCTACCCGAGAGTTCCCGTGCCCCCCCTTGCGGCCCCTACGACCCTCGAGTGGATGAGGGAGGTGACAAGTGAGGAAGGGTTGAGGTGCTCGGCTATGGTGGATGGATGTAGGTGATGGAGGTGGAAGAAGGGTTGGGGGTGGTCGGCTATGGTGGACGGGTGTGGGTGAGGGACGAGGAAGAAGGGTTGGAGGTGGTCGACTACGATGGACGGGTGTGGGTGATGGAGGAGGAAGTGGGGTTGGAGGTGGTCGGTTATGGTGGACGGGTGTGGGTGATGGAGGAGGAAGAAGGGTTGGAGGTGGTCGGCTATGGTGGACGGGTGTGGGTGATGGAGGAGGGAAAAGGGTTGGAGGTGGTCGGCTATGGTGGACGGGTGTGGGTGATGGAGGAGGAGGAAGGGTCGGAGGTGGTCGGCTATGGTGGACGGGTGTGGGTGATGGAGGAGGAAGAAGGGTTGGAGGTGGTCGGCTATGGTGGGCGGGCGTGGGTGATGGAGGAAGAAGAAGGGTTGGAGGTGGTTGGCTATGGTGGACGGGTGTGAGTGATGGAGGAAGGAAAAGGGTTGGAGGTGGTTGGCTATGGTGGACGGGTGTGGGTGATGGAGGAAGAAGAAGGGTTGGAGGTGGTCGGCTATGGTGGACGGGTGTGGGTGATGGAGGAGGAAGAAGGGTTGGGGGTGGTCGGCTATGGTGGACGAGTGTGGGGGATGGAGGAGGAAAAAGGGTTGGAGGTGGTCGGCTATGGTGGATGGGTGTGGGTGACAGAGGAGGAAGAAGGGTTGGAGGTGGTAGGCTATGGTAGACGGGCGTGGGTGATGGAGGAGGAAGAATAGTTGGGGGCGATCGGCTATGGTGGACGGGTGTGGGTGATGGAGGAGGAAGAAGGGTTGGAGGTGGTCAGCTATGGTGGACGGGTGTGGGCGATGGAGGAGAAGGAAGGGTTGGATGCGGCCGGCTATCGTGGACGGGTGTGGGTGATGAAGGAAGAAGAAGGGTTGGAGGTGGTTGGCTATGGTGGCAGGGAATGGGTGATGGAGGAAGAAGAAGGGTTGGGGGTGGTTGGCTATGGTGAACGGGTGTGGGTAACAGAGGAGGAAGGAGGGTTGGGGGTGGTTGGCTATGGTGGACGGGTGTGGGTGATGGAGGGGGAAGAAGGGTTGGAGCTGGTTGGCTATGGTGGACGGGTGTGGGGGATGGAGGAAGAAGGGTTGGGGGTGGTTGGCTATGGTGGACGGGTGTGGGTGATGGAGGAGGAAGAAGGGTTNCTATGGTGGACGGGTGTGGGGGATGGAGGAAGAAGGGTTGGGGGTGGTTGGCTATGGTGGACGGGTGTGGGTGATGGAGGAGGAAGAAGGGTTGGAGGTGGTTGGCTATGGTGGACGGGTGTGGAGGATGGAGGAAGAAGAAGGGTTGGGGGTGGTTGGCTATGGTGGACGGGTGTGGGTGATGGAGGAGGAAGGAGGGTTGGGGGTGGTCGGCTATGGTGGACGGGTGTGGGTGATGGAGGAGGAAGAAGGGTTGGAGGTGGTTGGCTATGGTGGACGGGTGTGGGGGATGCAGGAAGAAGAAGGGTTGGGGGTGGTTGGCTATGGTGGACGATTGTGGGTGACGGAGGAGGAAGGAGGGTTGGCGGCGGTCGGCTATGGTGGACGGGTGTGAGTGATGGAGGAGGGAGAAGTGTTGGGGTGGTGCGGCTATGGGGGATGGACGTGAAAGAAGGCCCGTTGGACGTATCCTAACTCCTAGCCCCGTGCCTCTGTTTCCTACTTCGGGTGCCTAGCTGCCCCATATCACTTTCGGAAGTCACCGGTCAAAGCAAAAATGGGGAAGGGACCGAACTACAGCCCACACACACACACACACACACACGCACATACTCCGAATGTCACCTTGTACAGCCAGGGGTAAAGGTGGACTGCACAAGTTGTCGGGAACTGCAGCATTCACACAAACACACACCGAATGTTACTGGGTACAGCAGGGGGTAAAGATGGACTGCACAAGTTACCGGGGCCTGCTGCACTCACACATACACACACCGAATGTTACTGGGTACAACAGGGGGTAAAGATGGACTGCACAAGTTACCGGGGACTGCAGCCCTCACACGTACACACACCGAATGTTACTGGTACAACAGGGGGTAAAGATGGACTGCACAAGTTACCGGGGACTGCAACACTCACACATACACACACCGAATGTNAGGGGGTAAAGATGGACTGCACAACTTTTGAGAGCACCTTAATCCAACGGAAAGTTCACCGAAGCATCCCAAGGTAATTCGCAACTTAGACATGCATCAGAGTCAGTGAGGGCACAAGTTTGAGAGCATCTAACCCAGCGGAAAGTCACCGAAGCATCCCAAGGTAATTCGCAACTTAGACATGCATCAAAGTCAGTGAATACTCCAGACTTGAAGTATCCACGCAAGGGGAAAGTTCACCGAACTATCACAAGATGAATCGCAACTTACCCAAGTACCCCAATCAGTGAAAACACAAGCTTTGAAGCAATCTATGAAGAGGAAACATCATCGAACTATCACAAGGTGAATCGCAACTTATCCAAGCCCCCAAATCAGTGAAAACACAAGCTTTGAAGCAATCTATGAAGAGGAAACATCACCGAACTATCAAAAGGTGAATCGCAACTTACCCAAGCACCCAAATTAGTGAAAACTCAAGATTTGAAGCAATCTATGAAGAGGAAACATCACCGAACTATCACAAGGTGAATCGCAACTTACCCAAGCCCCCAAATCGGTGAAAACACAAGATTTGAAGCAATCTATGAAGGGGAAACATCACCGAACTATCACAAGGTGAATCGCAACTTACACAAGCCCCCAAATCAGTGA